AGGACAATGGTTCAAACATGAGCGGTAAAGAGTTTTTGAGTAATTATGCTCAAACCGTTAAATTGTTCCGAATTAAAAAGTTAACCTAAGTTTAACCTAACATGTAGCTGCACTTACCTTTTTTTAACGTAAAAAAACAATAACAACAAGCAATCAATTGCAATTTACAAAATTTCAGAATCAGTGCCTAATCCTCGTTAATTGATTCAGAATGATTTTTAAATGTTATTCTTTTAAAAAAATAAATAATATTTGCGTATGGTACTAAACAGCTGCAGCTTCACATCCAAAGAGTTGCATGTGGCTCGCGAGCCGCAGGTTGCCGACCTCTGGTCTATCCTTACATACGCATCACTATCACGAATTTTCAAGTTCGAATAAGACAGAAGAGAACACCAGAGACAAACTCCTGCCCTGGTTATAACTTTCATTCAAATAAGATAGTGTGCTAGGAGGAAGGGGCACTCAGATCTGGAAATCTTGAGGCTGCCTTAATACAGTTAAATGCTCCAACTCCTAGAGGCGATCCAAGGGGCCACTAACCTATTGGTCGAGCCGACGAGCTAAGACTAAGCTGAGTCGACAGAAATGCTCAGCAATTCACATTCCAAGTCCCCGTTCTGGAGGGATAGTTAAAAGCATCTGCTATCAACAGGGGCCCCAACCCCGGACAGAAGAATGTCACTTAAGCACTGTCAGACAGACCGGCCACCAATCCGGCATGATAACACTACGTCATGGTATACAGTCGGCTTTAGGTGCCCACAGGGGGGGGGGACCAAGGAAGGATATGAATACGTAGTTTTGAGGCTCCAAGCGCTCACTGGAAACCTCAAGCAGTTTAAAGGCTAGATGAACATTTTTGGCGAGAAACTTCATGCTGCCATATTACTATCTAAATTTTTTGTTTATATTTCGAACATTAAGCCTAAAATGTCTCCAAAAACGTGGTTTTCGCACATGCAAAAACTACGTTTTAAACACACAATTTAAGCTAAAAATCTGAAACAAAAACAAAAAATTTAGATAGCAAAAACGTAAAATTTCTAACCAAAAATATTTGACAAGAATCCATGCACACAGCCACATGTTTTAATTTAAAAAAAGTCTACGAATGGCACAATGTAGGCAACGAACGAATTTACAAACTACGCACACCTCGCTTTAATAAATTAGCATAACAACAATAAATTTCAAAGAATACCATGTACACAGCATCCTGTTTAAACTTACAAAAACATCTACGAATTGCACAATTTAGGCAAGGAACGAATCTACGAACTACGCACACCTCGCTTTAATAAATTAACATAACAATAAATTTCAAAGAATACTGTGTACACAGCATCCTGTTTAAACTTAAAAAAACATCTACGAATTGCACAATTTAGGCAAGGAACGAATCTACGATCTACGCACACCTCGCTTTAGTAAAATAACATAATAACAATAAATTTCAAATAATACCATGTACACAGCGTTTTGTTTCAAAAAACAACGACAGAAATTCATACTAAATAACCAATGAACATAACATTCTACAAAATAAGAACAAGAATAAAATAAAATGCACTTACTATGAATTAATGCTTTTTCGAGCAGCAGAAATGCCAATTTCATACCGCCTTTAACATGCCGCCACGTAATCACTATCGTATTTAAATGACAGCCAGAAACACTCCAGAAAATTCATACTATGGTTCACAAATCCCTACTTCTATCATGCACAGGCATTAAAAATAATCTCCCAGACCCTCCTTTCACACCTCCAAATACCCACTACCCCTCAACAGGATGGCCACAATGATATTTCCTTTTGCCGAACTTCAATTCAACAACTTCTTTATCTTTCCTTCCCATCTTCTCAGACACAGACGCGAATCAACGAGCTCCAGCTAAAGATTGTTCAATGTCAACAGGGTTGCCATAGAACACGCAATTGCGCCAAAAACCAGCGCAGAACACATATCGCCACATTTGGTGAAATTAGGGCATATATCAGAGTTGTACCTAAGAAATTAATTTGCTTGGCTTTTATTCTACTTTTAATTTTCTCTTTACAGATAGACATAAGTTCTTTATTATGTCTGTCTATAGAATTAAAGAGAAAGTATTAGCACAAAAAACGAAGCAACTTAAACAACTTGAAAGAAATGCTTCATAAAGTTTAAAAAAAAAATTAAGCTTTTTTTTTTTAAACCTTTAGTTAATGTTTTATTATTTCATAAATCACGATTTCATATTTTTAATTTTATAATTTCTACATGCCATCTTACTAGATTTAAATTGATGATCTAATACAGTACAAAGTCTGTAATCCAGATGTCCATTATATGGAATGACCTATAATCCAGACCTCAAAGACCTTTTTTTTTTCTGTATGCTTTACCCATGCGTGTTTTATGTTACGCATGTGCGTTTAATATTTACACATGCACGTTTAGGACAAAAAACGAAGCAATTTAAACAACTTACATTGAAAGAAATGCTTAATATAGTAAACAAATAAATAATAAGCTTTTTTTTTTTTTTTTTTTGTAAATTTTGATACCCTTTAGATCATAATTGCTCTTTATTTCATTAATTACGGTTTCATATTTTTAATTGTATAATTTCTGCATGCCATCTTACCAGATTTAAATTGATGATTTATAATCTGGAAAAACCCTTATCTGCAATCGCCGAAGTCACAACGAGTCCGGATTACGGACTTTGCACTCTATCTGAAAAAATCCTAAATCTGGAATCGCCGAAGTCCCGATGAGTCTGGATCTGGGACTTTGCACTGTACACATCAAACTAATCACAACTTGGGTAGTGTACTCTTCTGTTATCGGGACCAGATTCATAAATGTATGCATGCCTGTATATATGGATGTATGTGTTCATGTATTCATGTATGCATGTGTACATGTGGATATGTGAGTATGAACACATATGCAAATACATATATGCATACATACATAAATGCATATACAGTCAAAAGTCTTTAATCCGGACTCGTCGGGACTTCGGCGATTCCGGATTATCGATTTTTCCGGATTATAGATCATCAGTTTAAATCTGGTAAGATGGCATGCAGAAATTATAAAATTAAAAATATGAAACCATAATTTATAAAATAATGAGCAATTATGATCTAAAGGGTATCAAAATTTACCAAAAAACAAGCCTAATATTTATTTGTTTACTTTATTAAACATTTCTTTCAACGCGCGGATGCGTAAAGCATACCTTACGCATAGCCGAAATTAGAAAATTGCAACCAGAAAACTATTTGATTTGTATTCGTGATATTTATAATGACGAGGAATTTGATTTAAATCATATCAAAGATGGAGTACATCGAAATTAAATACTACATTTAGTAAGGAATTATAAGCACAATAAAATAAAAACATCTGCCCTGAAGATAACGATAGTGTTGACAGATCAACTTCCAGTTCATTGCGCGCCGCGACGTCCCCCCCCCCCCGCGCAGAGCAGCGTGAAATTGATAAATAGATTTCGGAACGGTTAGATAAACAAAGGATATGCTTTTATCCATTTTTTGTAGCAATTCGTTTTTTGTTTGATGGACATCGAAACATACTTTCGTTTTCTAGATCCTTTGGGAGCTCCAGCATCGGAAATTCTATTTGACATAATCGAAAGTTCAAGCTTACTTTTAGAAAACTGCTCTTACAGTCTGCAAAAAATAATAAGCCGGATCCAATTCGAAGATTAAGGAACAACGCAATTATCAACATTAACTGAAATAGATAATTAGATAATTTTAGTTTATACCGTCCGTTATACATTAAACGCACACGCGAAAACGTATTCTGCACTTGCGCACACGCATGTGCGCAGTAGTCAAGGTCTTACGCGCACGCGTAAAACGCCTGTGCGCATGTGCCAACGCGGCGTATGCGCAGAAAGTTTTTAGCTTTGAGGTCCGGATTATAGATCATTCCGGATTACGGGTGCCCGAATTAACGACTTTTGACTGTATTTCTTAATCTGGTTCCAATAACAGAACAGTACCTCAACTTGAATTAGGCTGTCAAGATTTACAAATGATTATTACAAAAACATGTAAAAAGTCAAAGCGTCAAGGAGGTTTAAGTATTTATGTATTAATAACTTACTAATAATGACACATATAAATTTTTATTTCCAATAAATATCTGATAAGCTGTTATAGTTTATTATTAAAGCTGTTTACTGTTAGAACCATATTTTAGGTTATTCTTATTTATCATTAAATTTCATAATTATATATCACTGAAATTTGTTATTCTCATCATGATTAATTACATGTACAATTTAAATTTTATTCATTCAATGAATTTCATTTATTCTTAAAAATAATTTGCTTATTAGAAGCTAAACATTCAAAATTAGAAGATTCTGTGATCTGCCAGGGACACGATGCAAAACGTAGTCTCCCAGTTAAAACCAGCTATATTTTACAATTGACAGCTATTTAACTCGTAACAGAAAACATACGTTGGATTACAATGCAAATTAAAATTTATTTAGCCACTTCTTGTGGATTACAATTGAAATATTTACTGAAAAGAAAATGATTATTCATTATAACAGTATTACATGATAAGACTACTTGCTCTGGTTGCTAGGGTTCAATTATTTACAAACAAGGCTCAAATTTCAAATCTAGGTTGGCTATATTAACTCTAAACTCATAAAGCACTTATCACAGCACAGCAATTAAGTAAACTTTAGCCATTTGGGAACACACCAGGAATTAATTTTCTGTATGACTCATGGTCACATGGAAAATACTCCCAAAACTTAATAAGTCATATTTATATTTTTAAATATGCTATATATCATTCAGTTTACATAACTTTCTAGTTTGACCAAATATATGAGCTAAGAAAGATAACCAAATCCAATATTTACGAAAACTTATGAATAATTGTTACAAAATAAACGAAACTCTATTATTGATATAGAGGGAAGCAAGAGAACATTAGAATTAAAAGACAACACACCTTGTTTCTTCCTTTCTCGTTGTTTCATAATATGAGTTTTTAATGCAGCCCACATAGCAAGGCTCATTTTTGGTCTCTCGATTAAAGCAGGCATCTTGATCAAAGCTACAAACACAGAAACAAATGTGAAACAAATGAAGACACATACACACTGATTTTATACAAATTTGGAAACTTAAAATTTTGATAAAAAAACCCTTGGTTCATATTTAAAATTCAAAAATTTGCCAACTTTTTACATTACAAGAATTTTATATTTGGCAAATGATATAATGTTGCCAGTTCTCCTTGAAGAAGTAATGGAGACAGAATGCAATATACATATATACATACATAAAATAATTTTAACTTTATCTTACTAAATGGCTTTTTCAGTCTTGATTCTTACTCGAGAAAAGGATGAAAATCTTTTGCATCTATTAATTATTGTTAATTCATTGGAAATTAATTTGTTCCTCTTGAAAGTCAACTAATTTCTGGTCAGTGAAGATACTTACTTAGTTTGTTGGTTGCACTTTCGCTTTTAATTATTCTATTTTAATAATTCAATTTTATATATGCTAATATTTGAATTCATTTCAATAGAATTCTAACTTAACTACTTATTTTTAAAAGGAGATAATAAATTCAGTAATCTATTATTATTATTATTATATATACACACACACATAATATGCACACCACACATATATAAAAAAATGGCTCTAGTGTAGAATTGGGTGCCCCTTCGATTGGCGACAATTTTTAAAAAATTTTGGCGATGAAACCTCCCTTCTGGTTACCATGATAGTTTTAACTTTGTTTTAGCTTCCCGATTTTATTTAAATGAAAATAGACTGATGTGTACATGGACATATTTAAGGCAGTGCGCAATGCCTAGTTTGTGCAATTCTAGGATGTTTTTTAAAGTAAAAACAGATCGATGTGTACATGGACACAGATCTTGTGCAATTCTTCGACTTCTTATTTTCGTTTTGTGTAGCGGCCAGCTTGAAATTGTGCCTTCTTGGCGTCAAAAAAAGAATCGCCAATAAACAAGGGGCACCCAATTGTAAACGTTTACCAAAAAAAAAACATATATATATATGTCATAATAAAAGCACAAGGAAAAGACGGAACACTGTAGATGCGCGATTAGACCCATACTGAAGAAGAATTTGATTGCGTAGTATGCTAGTAATGCTAACTTGGTAATATCTAAAGAACTTGGCAGTCGAAGCAGTTTTAATTCCATTTTTATTTCCAATTTGATATTTGTAGCCACAATCACTTGGCACTCTAAAGTGATTGATTTTAGTGTTCAAATTAACGTGTATGCGAACTCTTAAATTCAAGATTTTGTGATTGGAATGCTAATACGCTCAAAAACTGCAAAAATGTCAACTTATAAGCAAGAATCCGTAGCTATTGTGGACACAGCGAAATTACATCTTAGCACAGTAGAGAGCTAAAGCTGAAGTGCGTCGTTATGAAAGATGGAAGCACGCGAAGAGAAAAGTTTTGGTTTACAATTCGGTAATTGGTCGTCAAGAGGCATCTGGTATTAACGGTTACGTAAGATTGCATGATTGATTAATTTGAATAACGCAATGCAGAGAAGTTATTACGATTTTAGAATAGAGAGGAAGAATTAATGTTTATAGTTATATTATAATTCTGATTCATATAATTTTATATTACATATATATATTAATATATATATATATGTAATATAAAATTATTAATATATATATGCACACATAATATACACTGCCCTCCAAAAGTTACGGAACAGCATGTTTTTTGTGTCTAATTAGAGAGGATGAAGCAACACAGAAACAAGATATTTACAGGACATGTTCACTGAACAGTTCTTTAATGAATGAATAAATGCGACATAGAATGTTTCTGAAGTTCAACACAAACATGAATTACAACAACAAATTGCACTCTTGGAAGAGAAATCCAGTCTTGGAGAACAAGCATATCACAGTTTTTTGAGGAAAAATAGGGTGGTAACATTACAAAAATGGATTCTAACAATAACTGGCAGCATTAACATTTCATGCTGTCAATTAAGTTGTCAGTCAGTGAAATGGGAAACAATGACCAGACATGGAGTAATCCTTGTTCAAGCTAATCTAATGACCTTGGAGGAGGACTTAAAGCAGCATTTTTTTTTTCCCAAGGTATTCCCAAAGATACTCTATCGGATTCAGGTCTGGGGACCGAGCTGGCCATTCCATCCACTCTATACTGTGACCCTCAACATATTTTTCAGCAACCCCAGCTCGGTGTGGTCACACATTGCTGTCCATCAGAAGAAATTCAGGACCAATAGCAGCAGCATATGGGCAGACATCAAAGATCTCGTTTTGATATCTCATACCGGTCAAAGTTCCTCCATGGAACACATGCATGTCAGCGTCACCACCGAGAAAGATCCAGGCCCAAACCATTATTCTACCACCTCTGTGACTGTGCCTTTCCACAATGTGGTATTAGTTATATGTTAATAGTTAAATTAGTTATATATTGGTGCATTAATCTCTTCAGATCAGCTGACGACCCGAATCAGTTTATTGTGAACCTGGACTCATTGTGAAGAGAATAGACGGCCATTATTGACTGGTCCAGGAGATGTGTTCTCTTGCCCAACATAAATGGGCACCTCTGTATCCTCGGATCAAATGTACACAAACAACTAGTTGTTTTACATACAGACCTATATTGTGCTGCGGTCTGCACACTGTAGTAGCTGAGATTCTTGTTCCTGTTGCCACTAAATGATGTGCCATGAGCTGAGGCACAGTAATGTTACTCCTCCTTCGGGTCGAAAGAGCTAAACAACAGTCTCCTGCAGGTGTTGTAACTCTAGGTCTGCCTGGAACATGTCTTTTAGACATAGAATCCTTGAATTCAAACTGATTCCATAGTCAGCGGACCACACTGTGAGAGACATTGAGACGTCTAGAAGCATCAGCTTGTGACAACCTCATTTCCATCCATCTGATCCCCTACCACCTCAACAAATCGGGCAAACAACTTCTCCTGGACATTCTCCTGTCCACGAAATTGTAATAATAACTGAAGATCAACACTCGTGAACAAAAGTTACAATTTTTCTCCAGCTCCTATATAAGTATTCATTTCTATAAAATAAAAGTGGTAGCTATTGCTTTTGCATATATTTTCTTAAACTTCGTTACTGTCTTGCAAAATGAACTGTGAATTTAAAAGTTATGGACATTTTTGTAATGGTAATCTTTCAAAAACATGCTGTTCCATAACTTTTGGAGTACACTGTACATACATACATATACAGATATATACACACAGACATAATACACATACATATATAAAGAAAGAAATTTAGAACAAATTTTTCACGAAGACTAAAAATTGAGGGTAGAGTAGACTTTAAGGTACCCCTTGTATTATGGCGAAGTTGTTGTTTGAGTTATCGCTAAGTTGTTTTTTCATTTATGGTAGCCTGAGTATAGGAATGTCATGGAAACCCTATTGTGACGTAATCGGGTGCATGATTCTGGGAAATTTTGAATCATGGAATGTTTTGTAAGTATTTTTGTGGTGTGTGTTGGTTTGATTCTTTAGACGGTAGAATGACCGAATGTAGTAAAATTAATTTGAAGTTTCTGTACGATTTGGAGCGAAAGGGGGAAAACAGCTTTAATTGACTGGTGTGTAAATGAAGGTTTACTTAGTAGCCTGTATGCATGAAGGACATGCGTCTAGTCGAACTTAAAAACTGTTTAGATGGTTTGAATGGGTTTGTAGGAAGAAAGGTTCAGATGGTCACTACGTGAAGCGTTCAATCAGAAAGAGTACCTGGTTTGGAAAAAGTCATTTGAGTATGATTGATATTTTGATTTTACGTGGCTCTGGGTGTACGAAGCAAACTCGAAAATCATGGTAAGTGAATATTTGCTTTTGGTAGTGCTTAAATGTATAACATGTTTTCCCTTTTTTATGTTATTTTATTGTTTGGTTTAAAATGTATTTTATTGAGATTATGTATTTTTTGTTTGCCTATATTGTAGAATTTGGTGCTCCTTTGACTTTTTAAGTGAAAAATATATCGATGTGTACATGGACAAAGTAAAGGGAGTGCGCAATGCAAGTTTGTGCAATTCTGGGAATTTTTTTAAAGTGAAAAATAGGTCGATGTGTACATGGATTAAGTCAAAGGAGTGCACAATGCTATTTTTGTGCAATTCTGAATTTTTTTAAAGAGAAAATAAGTCGATGTGTACATGGATATTAAGTTTGTGCAATTGTTTGTCTTGTTATTCTGGCTCTGTGTAGCGGCGATTTTTGCGCCCGCTTCGCAAGCCAAAATAACGAGTCAAAGAATTGCACAAAATCGGTATCCATGTACCGCGAAAAATTGCCAAGGGGCACCCTAAACTATACTTTTACCAAAATTGAAATTCAAATGAACTTCATAATAGCCTATAAATACAGAATAAGAATATTTAAAATGTAAAAACTAAAATACACCATCACGAGAAAAAACAAAAAAGAATATAAAAGAACAAGAGGAATCCAAATAGTAATATTTACTGCATATAGCATTATGTATACACTAAACTTACCTAATCTTCTTCAGAATCTTGATTACGTGGCGGATAAACTTTTCTTATCGATTCAATAAAATTATTGAATGATTTTTTCTGCGAATTTTTCCACCATACTTCCTGCACTAAATAAAAAGCAATTCTCTTTATCATAATGCTTCGGAATGGCGTTTTTTATAGCACTCCACGTGCCCTCTACTGTCTTCGTATGTGCACCTGTTTCAGAATCTTTAAAATGATACTTATGGTTCACAGCAAGATGTTGAAAACCTTCATCCTCCAAACATGCACATGACTTCCAGCAATCAGATATGATTATTGTACCAGGTAGAATATACTACTTAATAAAACTTAATAAGCAATCTTTACATCTATCTCGCACAACCTTAAAAAAACACTTATTACTACCCCTTTCAATCCCACTAAATACCCATTTCGAATTCACTTTAGATAGGGCCATGGGATCCAAAAATTAAGCAACACTCTTTCACACAACACAGAATGAAGCTAAATACAAAATGCTATAAAGTACTGCAGATCTTTTTCCAGATTTCCCCCTTTTCCGATTAAAGAACTGTGATTTGTCCATATATGTCACATGACATATCTCATGATCTCTCATTTCCCTCACACAAAATAATGCGTAATCGGAACTGAGTACTTCTCACATTATTCCCAAAAACCTAGGTAGCAACCTTTATCGCCTACCAAAATGTCACCAAACTACCTGTTACCATATTCCAAAGATTAGCCAATTTTTTAAGACCAAATAGGTCTTACAGCACAGTACTTATCAGCTTTTCAATTTTATTTCTTCTTATTAGCTATAAGCGCTAAAAGTTTCAGTAAGTTTTAGATGAATTTTGATTTTAACTTTTTTAAGCTTTAGCTATTGAGTTACCGGATACTGTTTACAGCTCCACTTTTATGATAGGTTAGTCTTCCTTCCAAAAAAACACTGCAAAGCAGGCTAGCTCCCTCTTTACTTTCAATACATGGCTCAGATTTTAAAAAATACCGCATTGAACTATTTCTTAGAGCCACAGCTCCTGGTAACTTTTTGGCGAGCTCACTACAATTTTTCATCCTATTATTTCATAATTTTTGCAGCATACTGCGGAAAAAATTTTTAAGACCAAATAGGTCTTACAACACAGTACTTATTAGCTTTTCAATTTTATTTCTTTTTAGCAGCTATAAGCACTAAAAGTTTCAGTAAGTTTTAGATGAATTTTGATTTTAACTTTTTTAAGCTTTAGCTATTGAGTTACCGGATACTGTTTACAGTTCCACTTTTACGATAGGTTAGTCTTCCTTCCAAAAAACACTGTAAAGCAGGGTAGCTCCCTCTTTACTTTCAATACATGGCTCAGATTTTAAAAAATACCACGTTGAACTATTTCTTGGAGCCACACCTCCTGGTAACTTTTTGGCGAGCTCACTACAATTTTTCTTCCTGTTATTTCATAATTTTAGCAGCATACTGCGCAAAAATTTTTTAAGACCAGTTAGGTCTTACAGCACTGTACTTATTAGCTTTTCAATTTTACTTCTTTTTAGCAGCTATAAGCGCTAAATGTTTCAGTAAATAGTTTAGAGTATCCTGAGTAGTTGAATGCTATGGAAACCCTGTCATGATGTAAATTTTGCCGTGACTGCAGTGCTTTTGAATGATGGAACAGATTTTGGATACGAAGTACATTGTTATTTTGAGGTTTACACAGTAAAATGGCTGAATGTTGTAAGATTAATTTGAAGTTTCTGTACGATTTGCAATGAAAGGGAAAAAAGCATTATTTGACTAGTGTGTATAATAGTAATGGTTGAATGTCGGAGGATACCTGCACTCTGGAGGATATTTTTGACTCACTTTTGTAAATTTATGTGGTGATGCCAGAATACCGATTCTAGTTCAGAAAATTTTAGGAAGTTTTTGGATGTTGTTAAGGAATTTTGTTTGATTGAAGACAGGGGAATTTGTAAAAAAAAGGTAAGTGGATATTTCCTTTCTGTAGTGCTAAGATGAATTTCCTTTTTTATGTTATTTCATTGTTTGATTTAAAATGTAGTTTATTGAGATTATATATTTTTTGTTGGCTGCTCCTTTGACTTTTTAAATGAATATAGATCAATGTGGACATAGACAAAATCAAGGTAATGCACAATATCTAGTTTATGCAATTCTCTGATATTTTTTAAGTGAAAATATGTTGATGTGTACATGGAAACCAAGTTTGTGCAATTCTTTGATTTGTTATTTTGGATTTGTGTAGCAGGGATTTTGGGCATAAAAACTGCCACTACACAAAAGCCAAAATAACAAGTCGAACAATTGCACAAACTTGGTGCCCAAGTACCACCAATTATCACCAAGGTAATTTCTGGTAAAAATATATCATAAATATATTCTTAACAGAAATAAATAAATTAAAAAATTTATATGTATGCATAATTATATATTTAAACACTACTGCATACATATTCATTATGATTTTAATTGAGATAATGAAATGAGTAGAAATTTTCATAGGATTTCAAATTTAATTATAGTTTTAAAATGCAAACAGGTGGAAACACAATTATTAGTCGTTTAATATAATTATTTATCAAAATAATCAAAATGTTTTAAAACTCTTATCAACCAGTTCGGAGAAATCATGCAGAAAAGCAGTAAATTGCACTATTCTAAAATCTTAATTTAAAATTACCTAAAAATCTTGTAAGCATATTTTTTTTAAATGAATAAATAGATAGATATACCAATAAGATAAGTTTTATATTATGCATAACTGTATATTTGTATGCAGTTGTACACAGAATTATCATATGGATTAATATAATGCCATCGTATTAATACATATAAAATTAATATAAAATCATAGTCCATATCAATATAAAATTCTACACAGGATCATTGTAAACCTCGTTCAGGAGGTCAAAATGGAGAATTCAAAATTTCCATTTGATATACACTTTTAAAGTTAAGTTTTTGGAATAAATGATGTAGGAGATATTAAATTGATATTTCTTGCTTTGATAAGAATAAAAAAATTAAATATCGTAGACAGACTTTCTACAGGAAAAAGTTGAAACAAAACCTTCAAGCCATTATTGCTGGCTGAACGCAAATGTAAACATATCATCTGCTAAACTATTTTTTACCGTAACTTTGATTCTACAAAGAATTTTTCCAATGTATATTTAAACACTACTGCATACATATTCATTATGATTTTAATTGAGATAATGAAATGACTAGAAATTTTCATACGATTTCAAATTTAATTATAGTTTTAAAATTATTTAAAATACTTTTAAGAAATCAAATTTTAATGTGAAAGCATAAAAAATTCGATTTCAGGGGGAAACTATTTAAAACACAAAACTACGTTAAAATTATCGCAGTTTACCACGAATTAAAAACAAATGTATAGCTCGATTCACAGGTACTGCAACTGGTTTTGTTAGTCTTCATTTGGACGAATTTTGAATTATCAAATAAATAAAAGACACACTGCTGAATAAAAAGTAAAAACATATAATAATAAGCCATTTAAAGTAATTTCCAAAAGCACTTTAATGCCAACCTGATAATTAATATTCCAAAACAAAAAATCATCTAACTTTTTTATCCAATATATACAAGTATAGGTTAGTATTCAGATATTACACATATATCTTTTACACGGTCATTTAACAACAAACGTTTACAACTTTTTTTATTTTCATTGGTTATAGATGTTGCCAATTACCATACAAATGTTAGAAATATTTGCACTCAGCAGGACGCCTTTTAAAAACAAAATAGGAAAAAAATATTTATAATATTTGCATGTTAAATCAATCAAAAGCTGCAAGATCTAGAATCTTATTGATTCTAATGTATAATAATAATAGTTAACGCAAAGCGGCCATAATCTATTCTACGACGGATTCATTTTTCGATCTGCGGGCAAAAAGATTTAGCGAGCACCAAACAATGCGTCCGTCTTTACTTGTCTGTCTATCTGTTAAACAAATCTTGAAGTTGCGTATGTGTATGAGTTGTTAAAACCATTATGCCAAAAATATGGTTCAGAGAGCAATCCAGACTTGTTTTCTTTTATCAGGAAAATCCATCTAGTAATATAAAATTCCTGCGACTTAAAAAACGATTCTAATAATGTGCTATATATTTTATTGTACAACATATGCTCCGAAAGACGATGTGTATCTTGTTTAGTTTACTGTGAATTTTTATCATTCTATTTTCCAGACGACTTTTCGAGAGGCTATAGTGACTATTAAATAAAATGCTTTTTTTTTTTTTTTTTTTGTAAATACCTTAGCTTCAAGATGAAATTTATTTATTTACATCTGTTGCTTTAGAAATTAATGTTCATTGTATAATATTTTGACAAATCTGCGGATTTCATAAGTTGGAAAAATTATTGGTACATAGGAATAATATTGTAAAATATAAGTTTAAAAATTGGGAATGAAGAAATTTTGACTTTGTTGCCAAATTTGTTTTTGACGTTTTGCTGCAGCATGCGTGTATGTAGGGTGAAGTGCAGAATCACCTTCTTATTTTGGCGCGTTATGTTCGGCGCTGAGTAAAAAGAATTGAATTTTTGTCAATTTCCTTTGACTTTTTAAGTGAAAATACATCGATATGTACATGGACAAAGTCAAAAACTGCGTAATGCTGAATTTCTGCAATTCTCTGATTTTTTTAAGTGAAAAATAGGTCTATGTGTACATGGATACCGAGGTTTGTGCAATTCTTAAAAACATGCCAAGCAGTGAGTGATTCTGCACTGACACATTCTTCCCTGAATCCCTGAGAACTTATTTCTTCTTTGAAGCATCCGCTGGTAAAATTTGATCCTTTAACTTATGAAATTATGAAATTGGAATTCGTAAATTTTTTATTCCATTTGGCCGTAACTAAGGCCATAAACAGTGGTCATTTTATTATCAAGGCATCTAACAGGCAGCCACTGTTGCGTTAGGTCAGACGGTAGTACTGTTCTGTTATCGGGACTGAATTCTGAAATCTGTGTGTGCATGTATGCGTGTTAATATATGCATACATACATACACATGTACATATGTACTTGCATACATGAACATATTCATTCATCCATACTTACATGCATGCATACATACATTTCTGAATACAGTCCCAGTAGCAGAAGAGTTCCCAGACAGTTTACATCCATGCCTTTTTGGGGATTCGAACCTAGAGAGAGACAATCAGAGTCACTAACCACTTTCCTTTCTGAGTGACAGAACTTGGAAGTTAATGTATCAAATAAGAATTTAGTATTGCTACCAAGGGCAAGCTACTTGCATTTCCCAGAATAAGTTTCTTATGTTTTCCATGTATTACTAAATGATTATCTCAAAATCTATTTCACTTGCAGCTATCACTGTTTTTTTTTTTTTTTTTTTTTTTTTGCTTTAAATAAACTTTGAAAATGCATTTATTTTATAATGTGATGTCTTATCTTTAATATCTAGGTCTGGCTGTGTGCCGTTTGAATAAATGATGTCGTCATATAAAGAGCGTTTGGATTTAAAAGGATTAGATGATGAGGATGATTTAAGTGATGATGAAGTATTCACCAGGGGTGGTAAGTCCATACCTCTGGAGGAAAATGGAGTAAACAAGCCTTTGATGGCTCCTCGACTACGAAATAAAGAAACCTTGCAAACTAAAGTTAGAAAAGTACCCTCTCTCCGGGTTATTTGGGGTCCCATATTTTACTTTTTCATAACATTATCTTCTATTATTAGTAAGTACATAACTTTATATATATATATGTAATGATATTTTTAAATCAACTGATTAAATTAAATTCTATTAATATTGCTTAATAATGTGTTGGCGATTCTCTACCTAAATTGCATCCCTGTTCCTAAATTTTCGCGAAATCCTTTCTTTAGTATAAAATATATTAACCTGTTGGCGCCCGCTAAATCGCCAAACTCATAAATCTGTCATATTACATAAAGTACTTAAGAACACTCCTGATGAGAAGATAGCGTCCTCGTGATTTCAATTAATATCGCTGATTGGAGGAGCCTCGTGACGCACACATAGGTATAAGTAGGCCTTCTGCTCAAGGTACGAGGAGAACGCTTGTGAGATGGATGCTAAAATAAACCTACCACTTTATATTCCAAAATTTGTCTCATTCCTGTTGCCCCGGCTGCACAAAACAAATAATGTATGAGAAATTACATTTCATATATTTTAATGTAATCAAAGGAGAGTGCCAATGAAAGTGGTCAATGCATAATAAATGCTATCACAATTATAGTGATCATTTATTTGTTTTAAATGCTGTGATTTATATAAACTTAAAAAAAAAAAAAAAAAAAAATGTTCAATTGCTTTAATAAAATATTCTAAATCAGTATGCTGTATAAAATAGTACATTGTTTTATAAAACTGAATATCAGCATAAAAAGAGATATTTCAAATTCAGGTATGTTCTTTATCAGTTATTTTCTGCAAAGTTTTTCTGTGCTTCTTTTGATTTATAATCATCTAATAATGTTCATTTAAAAAGCTGTTGCACAAAAAATTGTACATGGTGATTAACATGATATATATATAAAAAAACATGAAAATCTCTGTCCCTAGAAGAATGGAGATACTTCAATATTCTTAAATTTTAAGCATCATATCATTATAGTTTATACACCACAGTGCAGCTCATGAATGGCATGCATCTCTTATACAAGTAAAATATGTGTACAAGATATGGTAATCTAAAACTACAAAGATCCAAATGTCCAAAAGAAAATAATTAATTTGTTTCATTTCTTTTTATGAATCTATTAGTAAACTTTAACTGATCAATGCCCAAATGTATAATTATTTTATTTAATTTCTTGTTAGTTAAGGAATTAATAATGTTATTAAAAATATATTCTACTGATTCTATCAAGCAATTTGATAAAGAAAATCTTTAAAAGTTAGATTTGCATGTAAATGCTTAATGAATGAATGGATGAGTGTTTACAGATGCTCTCAAGTTTGTGTAATTCTCTGATGTTTTTTTAAGTGAAAATAGGTTGATATGTACATGGATACCGAGTTTGTGCAATTCTTTGACTTGTTATTTTCAAGTTGGTCGATTTTTGAGAAACGCACGATGCAGTGGGTGATTCTGCATAGAATTTTTTTAATCCTGACTTTTATTCTTTTAAAATGAGCATAACTAATTCTTAAAAAAATTGTAACCAATATAACAAATAGAAAAAAAAAAAAAAGATGTTATTTCTTTCTTTAAAAAGGTTTTAAACGGGTTACAAACTTTGTAATTATATAGCATTAGAATATATAGTATTTGTTTATGTTTTTAATGTGAACTGAAGAAGTATCATCTTCCAGAAATAGGTACTTCTTGTCTTCTGTAGTGGTGTTGGTGCATTTGAGCTTAAGAAAGTGTGATTTGTTACCAAATATTATATGCTTACATGAAAAAGAAATTGACTATGGTAAATAATAATTCCTTCAATATCCACAGAACAGAAGTTATTTAGCATATACATATAGAAGGAATTTAATATAAATTTGCATTTACTTTAATTAGTAGTTAATAATTGTATAAATTATATAGTAGGTAATTAAATACATTTTAAAATTCTATTTATTACTTTATTTAATACAGTTTTGTTAGCAGTTGATTTTAAAAAATAACATTATAAACATGTTGAAAAGTTAAATTTTACAAACATTTTCTGGTGGCCACAGTTTAGCAATTGATATTAGTTATGCATCAAATGCATTATCACAGCAAACTTGTTACCTGAACTTTGCATTACCAAAGGTTTTCCCCCCCCCCAACATATGATTGCATATTATGCCTATTTTCACAAATTCTTTAGCTTGGTAAAATAATTTTTCTTGGAGGGGTAACCATAGTTTCAGTTGATAATAGATTAAAACTAGTAAGTATAATTAAGTATTTTCAATGTAAAACCACTATATTTTTTTTAAAAGCAGAAATTTTCACAAGCCGAAGAAATGGGAACTATGAGCACACATGAAATATCATTATATTTTAAAAGCCACAGTAAAAGAAATCTCTTTAATGCAGATCCTCGCAACAAAATATTGGCTTTTGTTGATAATTGCTAGTTATTAAAGGGTACAGCCATAACACATATAAGACCAGGATGCAGAAAGCAATGGACAAGATGACCAAATGGGCCAACAACCATAATTATCACCAACTCAAAAGCCTAAAGTCTGTTTATCTGCCCAATTATCAGGAAACACCCCACATCAGCCTTCACAGCAAAAATATTAAAATAGTTAAAATGTGAGATATCGTTGAATTATAATTGATCACACATGCACATGGATCCCACATTTAAAGGAAGTCAAGGGATGACTTCATAAGTTATTTCTTTCTATACTTCGGACAGGAGCACCAACATGGAAGTTAACTTAGGATATGGTACACAGTAGTTGCAGAGTGAATTTCACTTCCATGTGGGGCATAACTGTCACTGCTAAAATGGAGAATCTGCTACATTCAGCACAAAGACTGTTCCTCCTAAGCATTTGCCAAGGCTACAAAATCTCCCCTACTAATGCTCTAAATGTGATTTCGTAACTACTGCATCTGCATCTGTTAGCACAGTGCGTGTGCTGTGACTCTGATAATAAGTTTGCGGGATAGAATTTATGTATATACTGATTATAAGCAAAGTATTTCCGAGCCACCTTTTCACTCATCTTCATTCAGTATTTCAATTAACTGTAAATCAATGGCGTGGTTCAGAGCCACTGCAGTCTATATTGATGAGTCAAAAGGAGAATATGGTACTGGCATTGAATATTGTACAACTACATGGAAGCCAGATCATAAAGACCTAGGAAAGAAAGCTCTGAAAGCATAACTCAGTTTTTCATAACTCAGCATAACTCAGTTGGTTACTTTAAAAGCTGCACTTGGCTATGCATTTTCTGATAACTCTTCTTCCCAATGTTTATGCAGACTCTGCCTCTAACCTTCAAGCAATCCAAGGCACATACTGTAAAAATCCACTTGTCAGAACCATACAAAGACATCTAGTAAATATACCAGACAACTGTAAGCCCAGTCTCCAGTGGGTACCTGCCCATACAGGAATATTGAATAACGAAATCGCAGATGCAACAGAAAGAGAAGTGACTGAGCCTCATGTACACTGATTTGATGTACCTCTCCTTGGTTCTCCTCTTTTGCATACTTTGTCAAGATTATTGTGGTGTTGCATTCCAAAGCTTTGTGAACAATTTTGCTGTAGAAGTCAAAGCAAATGATAGTATTTCGGAAGGTCATATCTATACACCCGGGGCAGTTAACGCATTGGCTGAACAAGATATATATATAAGCCCGTGGCAGTTAAGATGTTAATTTTTTATCAAAATTTAATAATTTTGATCGAAATATAATTGTCTTTTCTGGATTTAGTGAAAGCTTTCATTTTTTTAAAAATTTAAAGTGTCATAAAAATATCAAATTAAACTTTATGTTACACAACTTGGTCATCAAACTCATGTTTTTTTAATTCCCAAATAGGTATTATTTGTCTAATTGTTTTTCTCATCAATATCTTCATGAAAAATATTTCACCAAATGATCATCATACTCGATTATTCAAAGATAAAAAGTTGGTGCCTTGCACAAAAATTATCACTAAAGACATATGGGTGAAAACATTTCCCATGCTTACTACTGAAACTGCCATCAGATTAAATGATGTGAATATGGATGGGGTAGATGACATCATCATGGGATTTGGGACTGGTAAGAAATTATTTTGTATTTTGACTTTTTATTTTTTTTAAATATGAAATATAAGTATATGCAGTAGGTTTTCAATGTTGCATGTATGTAGGAATTTTTGCTGTTTTATTTTTAAATACAAAAATTCCTCAAACGATGTTTTTATGTCTGCATGTGAGAAACAGATTTGAGATAAAATATGCATTCTCTACAGTAAATATTTCATGTCGAAATTTATTGTAAGCCATCAGTAAGAAAAGACTATTTACAAATTAATTAATCTTAATAATATAAATTATATGACTATACTCTTTTTCCTTATTACAAGTTTTGGGTAATTATCAGTATCGTGGGCACATTTTCTTGATGATAATCTTTTTGGCTACTAGGCAAAATATTCTTTTGTGACATTTTGGTAAACTTTGTGTATTTTGTATTTGTAATTTTTTTCTTTGTATAAGCCATATCCTCAGCAACAATAATTTTTTGTAGGTGAAAAAACCACATTCAAAAGTTATTTCAGAACATTGAATTGTCAACTGCATGTATTATGAAATTAAGGTTTTTTTAAAAATTTTTTGGATGGCTGGAAATAATACTGCCAAAATTTATCGGAGGTTATTATTAACAACTTGGTGGGGAGTATTGTAATGAGGATTCTTGAAAGACGAAAATCCTTTTGATGCAGTTATGGTAGATTGTGTTTTGCACCAATAGTAATAGTTCCATAAAACTGCATTTTAGTGACATAAACTGAAATCGGTGAGTTTCTTGTCATATGGTATTTGCACTTTCGAATTTATTTTATTCTGTCTTAGTGTAAATTTTCAAAAATATTAGACTCGGCCAGAAAAAAGGTTTTCCACCCTGATAAGAGATGGCAGGTGATGCATTGCAAAAGGTGAATATGTGTGTTAGGATTAAGGTATCGTAAGCAATATTTGTCACTTCAGTGGTCACACTATAGAAGCATCACAGTTATAGAAGCTTAAAATATTGGCCTTTATTTTTTTGGCTACATGTTGGAAATTAAATCAGTGATAAAATTTTCGAATGCTTAAAAGCAATCAGAATTCATCATCAGTTGTGAAAATTCTCTGAGCCCAACATCATAATTATGCAGATGGTACGTGGTTTGTTCAGATAGTTTTCCAAAGGTTATCAAGATGGCCACAATGAGGAATGCATAGGGGCTGTCAACTAATGAGGACCTTATGTTGCAAGTATGCAGTGTATTTTGGTGAACTGACTCCTTCACAGTTACAGAACTTAAAGCCATTTTCTGCAGATATTATGTTTCTTGTTATATGAAATTGTCATAAAGCATCTCTTGTTCTGGAAATTGCATTTTAAGTGGTGCACAAACACATAGTATTTCATTTATTATATGCAAAAATTTTAATTTTATATGCTTAATTTTTTTATTCCATTTCTTATACAGCATGCAAATGGCGATGTAAGTTTGAAGTAAATTCAACTTTTTTGAGTTACCTTATTAATTATTCTCGCCTTTCTTGTCTTATTGCTTGGTAGCAATGTTTTTCACCAGGAAAATGGGACCCAAGGTAATTGATAACTATAACAATATGTAATATAATTTATAGGATTATTAAATAAAAATCGCATGACATAAACTGAAATCAGTCAGTTTCTTGTCGTATGGTATTTGCACTTTCGAATTTATTTTATTCTGTCTTAGTGTAAATTTTCAAAAATATTAGACTCGGCCAGAAAAAGGTTTTCCACCCTGATAAGAGATGGCAGGTGATGCATTGCAAAAGGTGAATATGTGTGTTAGGATTAAGGTATCGTAAGCAATATTTGTCACTTCAATGGTCACGCTATAGAAGCATCACAGTTATAGAAGCTTAAAATATTGGCCTTTATTTTTCCGGCTACATGTTGGAAGTTAGATCAGTGATAAAATTTTCGAATGCTTAGAAGATAGCAAATCAGAATTCATCATCAGTTGTGAAAATTATCTGAGCCCAACATCATAATTATGCAGATGGTACGTGTTTGTTCAGATAGTTTTCCAAAGGTTGTCAAGATGGCCACAATGAGGAATGCATAGGGGCTGTCAACTAATGAGGACCTTATGTTGCAAGTATGCAGTGTATTTTGGTGAACTGACTCCTTCACAGTTACAGAACTTAAAGCCATTTTCTGCAGATATTATGTTTCTTGTTATATGAAATTGTCATAAAGCATCTCTTGTTCTGGAAATTGCATTTTAAGTGGTGCACGAACACAAAACAAACACAAAAACAAATGCAGGGGTTTAGCACTAATTGTTCTGCAGCAATATCATAATGATGGTGATAAATTTCTTGATGATCATGATCATCATAGGTGATTAAACATGTATTTCTCAATTTGTTCCAGAAAGTAAGCTGAAATTAATGTATTGGCATCGCAGTGGATCAAAGGACAAAATTCAATGAGATTTTTTTTTTTAACTTAAATTATTGTTGACTGATGTGAAAACTGATGATCATGATATTCTGGGACAGAAAGGGCATTCTACTCATTGACCTTTTGTCCAGAGGTGAAATGATAAATCCTGACCATTACTGTCAAAATGCAAGGAACACTTGCTTTCTGGATGTACCTCATAATTTCTTATCTTTTGCATATTCATTGCTGCATTACCTTGGTAGATAAAATTAATTTAAGTAGAGGAAGTTATTTAATTTAACATATTATGAAAATTATCATCATCCAACCAGGATAATGGTTAGCGACACTGACTGCTGTACTGAAGGGCCCAGACTTGAATCCTGGAGAAGGCATGGATGTTTGTATGTGTGGCATGGGGGCACTCTAAATATGCACCAAGTCAAAAGCCCTCTTGAGAGGTTGGTGGTAGAGGAAGGGGTGGGTGAGAGACTTGTCCCTCAGACTTCCCTCCTGGTTTTCTCTCCATCAAAATTCCCAAGGGGGGGTTTGAAACTAAGCAAAGTTGTACTGCCAATTGTATGGTGCTCAAGGCTCTCCCAACGACAGGCACAATCTTGCACTTCTTGCCGCGATGAATTTTGTTGGCCTGTGTGGAATTTAATATCAGACAAGTAAGATAAGTGTCAACAACATAATAATAATTATCCATTTACATTCATAATTTTCATCAAAGTAAAAGCATTTTACCAACCAGTGTAAGATGCCAGATAAGCATGATCAATGATCATAAATATCTTTATTGAAAAGAAATAAATTTGAAATATTAAAATGGGTAATTGATATTTCAGAAGACTAAGGGATCTTTTGCACTTTTTTCAAATGTATGGATCAGGATGAAATATGCACATTGTGTCAAACATAATAAGCCTTGAATTAGTTGTGCTTAATAGAATAAAACCACAGAATACTACTTTTCATATTAGGTTTAAATCTAAATCACTGAGCAGGCTAATTGTGTGAGGATGGTTTTAGTTTTTAGACTAAATAAATTTTAAGAGAGTTTTTGTGGCTTTTAGAATAATTAATAATTTTTTATTAGTATATACATGAACCAGATTTCCTTTGAAAGCTGTCCATGAAGCCATTTATTGTGAAGCTGATTTTGCTTTAGTTCTTTGCTGTGATAAATGAAGGAAATCAAATTGTAGAATAACAGAATATCAGTAAATTATTTTAAGTCAACTTGCTTATTTCTTTTTATAATGACATACGCAGATATTTATAAATTGTATTGTGTTTCTCAAACTATGTAATGCATATTCTGTTCATACCATACAGAATTGGAATTAATTATATTTTATTGTATTCGGAATACAAATTTTCTAATTTGTTGGCATGTTATCTAAAATATTTATAGCAACAATAATGTTAAATTTAATTTTTTTTTGGTTCCAATTAATGCATATTGGAAAATACAAATTGTGTGCATTAACTAACCTGTCTAATTTAGAAATCTATTTAAATTGGTCAGAAAAAAATGGTTTATATTTCATAATGCTTTGTTCCTTCCTAGGTGCCGATGCATTTTATTATCCGAAGGTTGTTTGTCGTGTTTACTTTCCTAAATCTAAAGATGAGTGTGGAGGAGGTATTCTTGCCTTAGATGGTAAAACTGGCAATGAGATATGGAGACATTATTCTGCCCATGAAATGTTTGCCATCAATTGTAACACTGATTTAAATGGCGATGGTGTCAAAGATTGTCTAGGTGGTGGACGTATGGCTGTAAGTTACTTATTTGGAAGCATTTGTTCACTCAGTTGAACACTTAGTAATCATTATAGTTTGCACAATTTTGTTTAAATTTTTATGTATTATTTTGTTTTATTCAGTCATGTTAGCAGCTATGTGAGGCAGTGGTATGTCATTAAAATTAAGTGCTCATATTTTATTTTATAATAATATCAGATTTTTATTAAATGTTTTATTTTTACAAAAATGTGAAATACAAATTGTGCATAAAAATCATTTTAAAATTTAAAAAGTGAAATAAATGCAATAAAAATTTCAAAATACTGTAGAAAGTACATAAAATACTAAATAAATTTAGTTATTTTGCTTGGTATCAGAAGCTACCACATATTATTTTCTTCTTCACAGTTGATATTTTAAAAAGGTTTGAAGGTCAAGTGAGGATTTTTGAGTTTTAGGATTCATTTTGTTTAAGGGTTTGTTGTTCATTTAAGAAGTTGTTATTAAATATGAAATATGTTGTACAGTCAAAGAAGGTCTTGCGAGAGGTACTCTTAATAGTAATAGTCTCCATGCTGACTTTCTCTATACTATTAAGAGATTTATCAGTTTTCCTGTTAAAACCATCTCAATGAAATTAAAAAATATTTTTTTACTTTATGCTTTAGTACGAGGCGTATTCGGAAACTAAGTACCGTTTTGGAAAAAAAAAAAAAAATAGTAAAACAATTTTTTCGAATCCAATTTTATTTTTACATGAAAATACATATCTTAAACTATTTTTCAACATAGTTTCCGCCAATGATCGAACACTTGTCATAGTGGGTGACCAGTTTTTGTATACCATTATCAAAGAAACTTCCCGCCAGTTTCAATAACCATGACTCCACAGCATTTTTCGTGTCATCGTCAGATCCAAAGCTTGCGCTTCATGTGCAGGAACAAGTGATAGTCGCACAACGCCAAGTCCGGGCTGTATGGCGGGTGATCGAACTGCTCCCAATGAAACTGTCGAATTAACGATTGAGTGACACCAGCAGTATGGGGCCGAGCATTGTCATGGAGCAACACAATTCCTTTACTGAGCATTCCTCTTCGTTTGTTTTGAATGGCACGCCTAAGTTTTGTCAAAGTCTCGCAATATCGTGCCGCATAAATGATTTCACCTCTGGGAAGAAATTCAGTAAGCAAAACGCCTTTCCTATCCCAGAAGACAGTGCACATGATTTTTTGTCATGATATTGTCACTTTGAAGCATTTTTTTTTCAGAGAATGAGTGTTATCTCCACTCCATCGATTGTTGTTTCGATTCTGGTGTGAAATGACACACCCAAGTTTCATCACCTGTCACAGTTTGGTTTAAAAAGTTTTCTCCCTTATCACTGTACCGCATGAGAAATGTCAGGGCACTACCAAGTCGCTTTGTTTTGCGAACATCAGTGAGCATTTTAGAACCCATCGGGAACACAGTTTGCGATAAATCAAGCGGTCAGACACAATTTCGAACAAAACAGTACGTGAAATTCGGGGAAATGCCTCTGAAAGAGTTGTCATTGTGAAGCGTCTGTTCTCATGAATTGCTTCATCAACTTTCCTTACCAAATCATCGGTGAGAACAGAAGGCCGACCACTCCGAGCCTCGGCGTGGACATTTGTTCGACCTGCATTAAACATTCTTACCCACTTTCTCACCATTCCATCACTTATCGCGTATTCACCGTAAACGTCTGTCACTTGACGATAAATTTCGGCCGGTTTTACATTCCTTGCGTTAAAAAATTCAATCACGGCACGAATCTCACAGTCAGCGGGAGAACTAATTGTCTTAAACATTTTGAATGTGCACAGCAAACTGAAAACACAACATAGAGCAACCAAAATGGCGACAATTGAAAGTCAGTGAACAAGGCTAATCCCATGGCTAATCCCTCAGTTTGCTTGTAATATTTATTTTGGAAAACAAAATGTGTTTGTTTCAAACAGAGTTGAGTGAGAGAAATTAGCTCATCAATTTCGATGCAAGAGAAATGAAATTCGCGAAGTCTGGTTTCTAGACATCTTAATGCACCCTCCACTGGGACATTGGTGAATAATGATTTTACATCAAAAGAAACCATGAGTAAATTACTAGGAGAAATGTTTTTAACCTTTTTTACAAACTCTGTTGAATTTTTTATGGTATAAATGTTATTGTCTAATAGAGTGGAAAATCTAAAAACTAAATATTTAGCTAATGGATACGAGGCAGTACCTAAATTTGATACAATAGGGCGGAAAGGAATACCACTTTTATGAATTTTGGGAAAGAGCATATAATCTGGCACAATTCGCAACAGATGGGATTAGCCATGGGAAGCCCCCTCAGTCCCATCCTGGCTGATATCTACATGCATTATTATGAATCAAAATTGTTTGAAACTTTAAACTTCCCGGCATGGTTCCGCTACGTAGACGATACTTTTACCCTGTTTGAAGGTAATAAAGATGATTTAAATAAAGTTCTTTCAACAATGAATTCTACTGATCCTGCTATTCAGTTCACTTTTGAACTTGAGACTTGCAATTCTCTTCCGTTTCTCGATATTCTGGTCACACGTAACACATCCAACTTCAGTACTACAGTTTACCGTAAACCTTCATCGGTTTGCCTTCCACCACACTTTAAATCATGTCATCCGACTAAACAAAAGTTAGCTTCATTTTATTCCTATGTTTTCCGTGCTCTTTAAGTTTGCTCCTCCAAACTAGCCCTTGATGAAGAACTAAATTATTTTAAAAGCAATAGCTATTGACAGGGGCTTTTCACCCAACATTATTAATCAAGCAGTTAAAAAATTCTCATCTCAACACACTAAAAGCCACACTCTTATTTTAGGAGATTATAAAAATTCTGTTGTCATTCCCTTCTTTCCATCAATTAGCTATAAAGTTGCACATATTTTGCAGAAATTTAACTTTCGGGTTGTTATTTCTCCCATCAATAAAATTCCAACTTCTATACTCAAGGACCCCATTCCGGATATGAATTCCTGGGGTATTTATAGGATTCCTTGCCAGTGTGGTTTAATTTACATTGGTCAAATTAAGAGAGCCTTAAAATTTCGCGTCAAAGAACATGAGGCATATGTTAGAAAAAAGGAAACACAGAAGTCTTCTGTTGCTCAACATTGTTGGTCCGAAAATCACACTTTCAATTTTTCTGCTGCCAAAATTATTCAAAAAACATCTTCCATTGGAGAACTGGATTTTCTAGAGGCATTTCACATTCATAGAAATCTTTCTGTTCTAGTTAACGATCCTAATTCCAATCCAAATTTACCTTCAGCTTTTAGAGAAATTATGTTTTAGTTCTGGTTTCGCCAACAGATGGCGCCACTTGCTTATTCTTGTCCAGGCTTTCTTATCTTATCTAATCATTATTTCCTATCTTGTTCAATTGCGGTTTTGCAGCTGAAGATGATGGTTCGGTAAAACCATCGAAACTAGTCCTGTGAAAATTTTGTGAATATAACGCTGATTTTTGTTGTTTGACTTCTGAATTAAGTACTTACATATTAGTGCAACCACTGTGGTGCAGTTTGATAGTGTTTTACACAAGAAAGTGAATAATTTACATTTACAAAAAGTATTTATTATGCATCAACAGATTATTACATACCTGAATTATGTGGGAATTAGGTAGTTCTTCCAAAAGTTAATCAGTAAATTTATTTACAAGTAGTTTTATTTTTGCTTTTGTTCTGATGGAAGTTTCTTGGCAATTGCTTTAAGAATGCATTCAAAATAGCTGTTTTCATTAGAAATTTTTTGGCAAACTACTGTATTCTGCTGACAATTTTCCACGGTTTCTTCCATTACAAACTAATTTTATAAGTGCATGTTTTAAAATTGAGTTTAAAACAAAAAAAAAATCATGATTTGTCTTTAAAAGGCACTGGAATTTGGAATATGAAACATACGCACAACACATATGAAAATGGCTATGTGCTTAATTAAGACACAATATCACGCTGAACAAAAAGAAATTCAGAAGTCAAACAACAAAAATCAGAGTTATATTTTCAAATTTTCCCAAGACTAGTTTCGATGGTTTTACCGAACCATCATCCTCAGCTGCAAAAGTGCAAAAATTGCTTTTGCGCTTTGTTGCATTTTGCGCTTTTGCAGCTGAGGATGATGGTTTGGTAAAACCATCAAAACTATTCCTGTGAAAATTTGAAAAATATAACGCTGATTTTTGTTGTTTGACTTCTGAATTAGGCTATGTGCTTGTTAAAACGGAAGAATTAATACTCACGTGTTTGCATCAAGAACTGTTGTATGCTTGCCAGAGTTCGAAGTATTTTGAGAATTTGGAGACTTTAGCTAAGGTGGTAATGCTAATATGAAAGCAGTATTCATATTATGGCACACAAATATAAAAATTATGAACTCCAACTTTTTATACAGTCATCAGTCCCTGAAGTTATATTTAGTAAAATTTTTATATTTATTCTAGAAAATAAAAAAAAGAAAGTTTGATGCCTGTGTAACCAAGACATATAGTCTTAAAGTTTTGGGCTTGCCACGCTACCTGGAAAACCACGAAAAGTCAGGGAATTTAAATATTATAATTAAAATCTTGAAAAGTCGGGGAACTTGAAAATACTGTCCCCCAAAAAGTGATTTTCACACCAACATTGGAAGCAATAACTTTATTGGGCAATTATGTATCGCACGAGTATCATTTGGAAGTTTGTACAGAGCTAGCTAACCTCAAGAATTCAGAGATTTGCATGTGCAGTGCATGTTGAAAGAAAGTAAATTCCCTCCCCTCTTGTAGAAAACAAAATCTTTTAAACCTTTTCTTCTTTCTTAAATGTCTTATTTGTCATTTCGTAGTAAAATAAAATAATAATATTGCCATCTAGGCTAACCATTTAATATATCTATATTAGCCAAAATACTGTCAATTTTTGTAATTAAAGTTTTAATCTTTAAGTAATTTATTTTAATGTTATTCATATCATTTAATGTGACTTCTTCCTTTCAAA